TCCTACTTCATGGGCTTTTTATTTCAGATTTCCTCTTGCCCCCATCCTCAACTTCTGCAGTGCTTCACACAATACCTAACATTTAATGATTGATCCTTATGTTTTTATTGATGACAAATAAGAGAGACCCCCAGAGTCTCTCTTCACTTCTCTTTTCTTTCCTTCCTCTCCCCACCTCTAACTTTCAAAACATCACTAACATAGCAGCAGGTATTTTTTGAGCAGAAGTGGGAAATAGTTCCATTTTCTAGGCCAACTGTGATCCCTTGGAAATGGCTGTTTCTAAGGATTTGGAGGCTGCATCTGAGTTCAGTGGGAGATAATGCTATGATCAATTAGTAATGTCTGTTGTGGACCCAGTGTGGAGGTGGTGTCACATATACTTGCATTCCTGCTTGAGATGGTGGGCCATTTTTCTTAGGAATGAGAAAAAGTCATATGTTTCTCCAAGGAATTATTTGAAGATGTTCCCACTGGTGTTGCTTACATTTCCTGCCTTTTAAAAAATACAGTACTCTAATTTTTAAAATGTGTTCCATGAACCTAATACCATAACCATGTATAAGTGCCACTGAGTTCTGCTAGGCAGGGTTAGCATCCAGCAAGGCAGAGAGCCTGTGAGGGTATGGACTGGTACATCCTGTCGCCGTTCAGGACACGGGGGTGTTTGCCTACCTTCAAAGTAAGAAGCAGAAAACCACAGGTAACGCTGGATGACAAAGCTCTGTGTTGATGTTCATGTCTGCCGATCTTGGGCCCTCATTGGGTTATTAGCAGGAGTGTTCTGACTTGCCTGCTAGTCAGAAGGGAACACTGATATCTCACTTTCTTACAGGAGGGACTCCTTTCCCTAGAGGATATGTAGCGTGTCGTGGCACTCCCGCCCCAGCAGTCATCAACATCCTTACCCCCGCATCAGTGGGGGTGACCATCCCTGTTTAATCGTCCCGCACAGGCACTGTGAGGGGATAAGAAAGAAAGTAGAGAGAAGGGCTGTGTCCACATGGGGCATAGAGGTTGCGGCAGAGGCAGGACTTGTAGGGCAGAGAGACCCGGAGCCGAGAATGGTGTCTGGGTCTGTACGTTTGCAGCTGCTTGTGCTCTGGTCACAGGTTGGCTCGGAGGCTGTTCGCTTTGCTCCTCGTGGGCCCTTCACTTCTGAGTCTGGGGTGCTTTAGCACCCCAGGGATGGTAGCAGAGGGGTGTATGGTGAGCAGGGTTAGATACTGTGTGAGCCTCCAGAAAGCCTTGGGCACAGCCATTGGTGTCTGGACCCTAACGTATCCTGGATGTTGAATGTGAGTCTCACAGGTAAGCCTGGGCTGCCCTTGGACTGAGATTCCTAGCACCTGTCTGGGGATGAGCAGGGCCAGAGCCTTCATTCCAATTTGTAGCATCCTGGAGGATCTTGGGGGTAGTGGACAGACCCTGGCTGGGCCCTGTTAATGAACACTCTTTAGAGAACTGTGAGAACATCAGGACCAAGAAGAGATTGACTTCTGTGGCTTTGGTGCTTGTTGGCACTTGCGAATGGGTTTCTTCAGACCTGTGTCCCTGTTGACTCATTTGCTTGCTATTTTAATTTTTTGAGGGAGAGGGGGTCCTCCATCTGAGGTGGTCAGGAAAGGTTTCTGAAGACATTGATGTCTGAGCTGGTCTTGAAGGCAAGGAAATAGTAGAGGTAGAGATGGGGTGAGGAGAGGAGTTCCCACGCTCAGCCCTCCCGAGTTCCCGCGTCCTGCTGGCTCTGATTCTGTTCTACACCCGACCACTCCTCATGCCCTCCCAGATGCCTCTCTCATCTTCCGCCTGGACTGCTGTAGCCTCATCCGTTCCTCTGGTTTCCAGTCTTGCCTCTATAAGGCCTCTTCTGTTCTCATCCATCTAATCGGATGCTGTGGCTCGTCTTCTCAAAAGCTTCCAGTGGCTGCCCAGCTTGGAAAAATTCGGATTCCTACTGCTCCCTGTGACAGACACCTGCCTGGCATCCTTCCACCCTCATTTCCCACCAATGTCCTCCAGCTGCACCAGCCTTCCTGCTCTTTCTTGAACATGCTAAGTTCATTCCCACCTCAGGACCTTTGCACCTGCTGTTCCTTCAGTTTTGACTGCTCTTCTTCCACATTTTTGCAGGACTGCTTACCTCATTTTATTCAGGTCTTTGTTAGATGTCACCTGTTCAGAAAGGACATCTGTGATGACTTTATCTATCTATGCACACACCCATGATGAAGAAAATGCTCCAGTGTCTGCATTATTTCTTGGAGAACTGTCATCACAGAAAAGTTTTAATGGTGTCTTCTTATTCCAGAAGGAAAGAACCTATATTCCACAAAGTCTGTATAAAAGGCTCCTGCTCAAATAGGAGTTTAAGTGTCACCTTCTTTAGTTCACACTTCCTAGACACCTCTGTGGAAATGTCTCCCAGGTTTGGCTTTAAAAGGAACTGAATTCATTCAGGAGGTATTTGTTCAGAGCTGTCGATGCGTCAGGCACTGTTCCCTAGAGGGTGTCCCCCACTTGGTGCCAAGGAGACAGAAAATAAACAAATAAACCTACAATGAAATGTCAGGTTTTGACAGTGCTGGGGATGGGGATGAGCCACTAGCTTCATTACCATGCAAATCGGTCTTCACAGAAGGATACTTTCGGGCAGTTGAAAGCCATCTAGTTCTCTCTGTCTCTTTTTTTTTTAATATTCTTTTTAAAAAAAAACTGTTGATTTTATTGATAAAGGTAATTGATAAAGAATGCAAGTCAAAGGTACACATCTGAAAATATCAACTTTAAATCTGATTTACTCAGTATTAATTTTAGGTGATAGATTAAGTAAAATTAATGATACAAGCCAAATGATGCCTGCATCACATTCAATGTGCGTAATGCTCTTGACAGCATCAAAGGAATTAAATGTTTGAGGAAAACCAGCGATTACGTTTATCAAACATCTGTCACTGATGCTAAACAAATTGCAGAATCTCGTGATTTTGACACCAATTTTTGTTCCTTTCCTACCTGAAGTGTAAGAAGGGACAGGAAGAGGAGGGTGGAAGAGTTCTCTGTAACGGTAGCTGCATTTTGTTATGCCAAAGGCTGTGCTTGATACCCGCATAGGAGCCCCCCTCTTAGATATAGCAGGAGGGTCCAGAAGCAGGATGAAACCATCCTTCTAGCAACTCTTGAATTCTGCTCCCTCGGTCTCAGAGGTGACAGCTGGCTGGCTACAGATTGAAAATTGTATTGATCACTTGTCCTCAGCTGAGGGAACATCTAGGATACATCATCTGTTTTACGTCAGAAACCACAGAAGCAAGGCCAGTTGCCTGAAACCAGGGCACTGGATTTCCTCGGCTGTTGCAAAAGCTGCTCAGATTCCCGGTGGTGCCTATCAGCCTCTCTACAGGAAGACTTCTCTGGGAGACCCCTCGCCCATTGTTCCTCCCTTTCCTCCCCTCCAGGCTCCCGCCTGCCTTATCCGGGGCCTATGTCCAGAGGGTTCTCCTCGGCTTCCTCCCACTCTGACACGCTCCCAGTTTGAGAGTGAGGCTTAGGGTCCATGGTGGCTCAGTCCAGTCAGATCAGCCACTGATCAAAGCTTCTCCCTGGCAGCCACCATCAGTATACAGTTGTCTGTAATAGACTGTAGTTTTTGGTTTGTTTCTATTGGGCTATAATTGCTTTACAATGTTGTGTTAGTTTCTGCTGTACAAAAGAGTGAATCAGCTATATGTATACATATATCTCCTCCCTCTTGGACCTCCCTGGCACCCCTTACTCCCATCCCACCCATCTAGATCACCACAGAACACCGAGCTGAGCTCCCCACGCTATACAGCAAGTTCCCACCAGCTACACATGGCAGTGCACATACGTCAATCTCAATCTCCCAGTTCATCCCCCCACCCCCGCGTCCACACGTCCGTTCTCTACGTCTGCGTCTTTATTCCTGCCCTGCACACAGGTTCATCTGTACCATTTTTCTAGATTCCACATATATGCGTTAATATATGGTATTTGTTTTTCTCATTCTGATTTACTTCACTCTGTATGACAGACTCTGGGTCCATCCACGTCTCTACAAATGACCCAATTTCGTTCCTTTTTTATGGCTGAGTAATATTCCATTGTATATAGGTACCACGTCTTCTTTATCCATTTGTCTGTCAATGGACATTTAGGTTGCTTCCATAACAGTGCCTCCTCTGGCCACGAGGGTCCAGGTGGGCTGAGCACTGCCCCCCTCTAGACTGTAGGGTTTTTTTGTTGTTTTGTTTTTTTGCGGTACACGGGCCTCTCACTGTTGTGGCCTATCCCGTTGCGGAGCACAGGCTCCGGATGCGCAGGCTCAGCGGCCATGGCTCACGGGCCCAGCCGCTCCGCAGCATGTGGGATCTTCCCGGACCGGGTCATGAACTCGTGTCCCCTGCATCGGCAGGCGGACTCTCAACCACTGCGCCACCAGGGAAGCCCTAGACTGTAGTTTTTTTAGAGCAGTTTCAGGCTTATAGAAAAATTGAGCAGAAAGTACAGAGAGTTCCCATATGCTTCCCCTGTTATTAACATCTTGCTTTAATGTGGTACATTCACTATAATTGATGAGCCAATATTGGTACATTATTATTAATGAAAGTGAATGTTTTTTAACTCAGGTTAAATGTAAACAAAAGTCCCTAGTTTACATTAGGGCTTATTCTTTGTGCATTCTATGAATTTTGACAAATGTGTGGTGACGTGTATCCACCATTGTAGTATCACACAGAATAGTTTCACTGCCCTAAAAATGCTCTTTGCTTCCCCTGTTCATCCCTCTCTCCATGGTCCCAACCCCCTGGCAACCAGTGATCTTTTCACCGTCTCCATAGTTTAGCCTTTTCCAGAATGTCATATAGATGGAATCACACAGTCACAGTACATAGCCTTTTCCAGTTGGCTTATTTCACTTAGGAACATGCATTTAAGTTTCCTTCGTGTCTTTTTGTGGCTTGAGAGCTCGTTTTTTATTGCTGCATAATATTCCATTGTCTGAACGTCCCACAGCTTATCCGTTCACCTGCTGAAGGATGTCTTGGTTACTTCCGAGTTTGGGTAACTATGAATAAAGCTGCTCTAAGCATTTGTATGCAGGTTTCGGTGCGTGTGTGCGCACGTACGTTTTCAGTCATTCGGGTAAATACCAAGATGCTCGATTGCTGGACCCTATGGTAAGACTATGTCTGGTTTTGTAAGAAACCACCAAACTGTCCTCCAGAGTGGCTGTACCATTTCATCGGCTTGTTCTGGTTCCTGCACCACTTTCATTTAGAGTCTGATTTTCCTGGGCAGTGCTTCAGAAATACGCCGAATATTCCAGGGATACCGCACACATTCTTCTTTCTGTCATCTTCCTCTTGCTCGAGCTAAACCATCCTAGCAGAAAACTTCCTCCTCCCTCCCTCTTTTCTTTGGCTTCGCACCTCTACCCTCCCTGCCAAAAGTCAATGAGGGAAGTAGGGGAAGGGCAGAAGCAGGGTTGGTAGGGGAGAATTACCGTGCTTCCCCAGGGCTTTTTTGTCTTCCTTTAAAATGATTTAAGTTGATACTACCAAAAGGTACGTGATGCTCTTCACCCAAAACTGTGGGGTCAGGTGTACCTTATTCCTCACTGGTTTGTCTCCAGTCAGTACAGAAGACTCTTCCCATACGACTAAGTGCTTTGGGGGCATTCGCTGAACAGCTTTGCCATATGTGGCCAGAAGAACATACACTGGCCAAAGGGAAATACGTCAGGGGCCCTAAAATCAGCGCACCAAGAGGCAGTTGCCTGCCTCACCCCTCCTGCAGTTCCCTCCCTCTCCGGGCTCCCAGGGGTCTGCTTGGAGGCCCATGACTACGAATCCCCGGGAGCAGGTTTGTTGATGGCTTGCCGGTCTTGTTTCTTTATAGGTAGGCTTCCTATTGTGCAACCCAGATGCTTCAGGTTATTATAGAGAGGCGGACAGATGAACAGAGAATGGAGGGAATCTCTGAATGGGGAAGGGAGCTTCCCAGTTTCCTGAGGGCAGGCTGACCCCACAGTCCTGCTCTCCTGAGCCGCCCTGTCCATTCCTGTGACTGCCGGCTTGTTCCATCTCCCCTGAGTTTAGGCTGCTTCTGCCCGCATGCCTTTGGAGGCTGAATGACCTGTGGCTGAAGGGACTTTCCCTGCTGGGGTCTGGACTTTCTCAACAAGGTGCACTGTGAGCATCTTAGGCAGGACAAAGCCCTGTGCATCGCAGCAGTTTAGCCTCCCTGCTCTCACCCATTAAATACCAAGAGAGCCCCTCACGTCATTGTGACAATCAAAACTACCCCCCCCTGTTACCATATGCCCCCAGCAGGCCCTGCCAGCAATGAGAACCCCTGCGCTAGGGGTGGTTTGGTCAGGGTCTCCTAGTTAAAAGGGGTCACTCTCAGTGCCTCTTGCCCACCCCTCATCCGGGCCCTTCTCAGCAGCTGGTACCCGCTGTTTTCACCCACACCCTTTTTCATCTACTCTCCCCTCTTCCTCCTCCTGCCCTCACTTCCAGGGCCAAAGGAGAAGAACGTAGACATTTTTCCAGCCTGCAGTGTGATGTGGGGTTTCAGGAACTTCAGGGTGTTTTCCCGTAACTCTTGAAAATCTAGGCTTCTGAGGATTTGTTTTCTCCATTTGAACCCTGCTTCTCACTCAGTGGTCCTCACGCAGTCAAGTGAGTTCTCCTAAGGGGTGTTCTGTGGTCAGCCCCGAGAACACAGAACATGATGGAAGCCTGACAGTGGCGATTAGCATTGGCGTGGCGCTGTCCCCTCCGTCCAACCCTTCCCCAGCCCCCAAGGCTGACGCTGCATTGATCTGAAATTCGGCCAAGTCATACTGGTATTTATCTTGGCTCAAACCCCACGCCTCGTCATGCCTTCTACAGAGGGGTCCCAGGGAAGGGATGAGTTTGTCATCACCCAGCTATTCACATGGAGGAAATGGGGCAGAGTTCAAGGATTGCTTATTTTTTTTTACCTCCCCGCTCGTAGCCTACTTCCAAGCCACTAGCGGTGAGTGATGTGTACATAGGGCCTTGACAGAGCTGAGGGATGGGCCTGGCTTTGTTGGGGCTGCCAAGAGGCTAACTCTGCTGGGCTGAGGTCCACACAGGCAGAGCCACTGCTGACCCTGGGCCCGGAGGGTGGTAATTATGGGGACACCACAAGGCCAGGGGGAGCTGGCATGGGGCCAGTGGGCCTCCACGAAGCGGGAGGGGGCTTGGTGTTTGATTTCTGCAATTCCCGGCAGCCGAGGAGCCCAGGCCCTGCAGGTGGTGTCCTTGCATCTACCACTTGATCCCGGCCCGTCTCAGGTCCACTCTCCCGCCCCTCCTTTCCTCTGGGACTCTGGGAAAGTGGCCCTCGGCGCTGACACCTTTACTCCTCAAGTCAGTGTCAGTCGGCTGCAACGGGGTCGCGAGCACCTCCGCACAGCTTCCTGTGGCCTCGGAGCTCAGCCCTGGTAGAGCCTGTTGGTGATTCAGCAGCCGGGAAACTCCAGGAGGGCTCGGCGATACTCGCCCTGCTGCCCTGCAATGCCTGGCGGGGGCCCTCGGCCAGCCAGCATGGGAGCGGGGCCTGTAGAAGAGGAAGTTTGACTCAGTCGCCAGCCCTGGTCCAGATCTCTGATAAACCCTCAGCTCTGCTTCCTCCTAACGAGAAAGGGCGGGGCACAGATGGGAGCGAGCACAGGGCCCGCCTCGCCCAGAGGAGATGCTTTGTGCATCCTGGTTAACTTACTGTTTGGCAAAGATATTTTGCTCCTGTGTGCTGTTTGCTTTGTAGGAGGGGGTCCGCTCAGACCACCGGATCAGTAGGCAGCACTGTTCTGTAAGGCTTGGACGTGGGTGGGTGCTGGGGAGAGCAGAGAGGAAGATATGTACGTAGCAGTGTGAGGGGTTGCATCACACCTGCCAGGCCTCAGAAACAAAGGTTTCTCAACAGGGCAGCACCCACCCCCTCCTGCAAGGGTCTCTGTGGATTTTTTATTTAGTCATTTCTTTTTTGCATGTTTTCCAGAAGTCAGGATGAGCGTGCCACCTCCTTTTATAGCTGCATTGCTTCTCTGATGCCTGTGCATGTGGTTTAAGTCTTGGGCATTTATTAGGACCTGGACTCTCAAGAGCCCAAAGCAGTTTGCAAATCTTCTCATTTGGCCTTTGAAGTGTGGAAAGCAAGATAGTCATCTGTTCTCCTAAGTCAGAGATGGTGGGAAAAGAGGTCTGGGCCTGGGGGCTGCAAAGAAGTGAGGTCAGGGCAGCCTGAGGGTTTTCCAGGCAGGAGAGAGCGAGTGAGAATATTTAAGAGGCCTGGGCCAGGTGGACACATTTGGGTGGAGCAAAGGACTTGAATAGCGAGCGTGGGAGAGGCTCCCAGGACACAGGTGAGTGTGTTTGCTTCAACCGTATCTTCTTGCTTTCTCATAAAGATTTCAGGAAAAACTGACAAAATAAGTTAAGGGTGTAAAACATTTCGGGGGTCATCTCATCAGGTGACCAAACGACTCAGGATCATCTTGGCATGATCTTGGTTCAGCAGACTTACTCCAGGCTCAGGAGAAGGGCGATGCTTCCCCATCCTGCGTGGTCTTCTCTATATTCTAGTGAGACTCGTTAACTAGGATTGAAAGAGAAGAGGCACCTTAACTCAGCACCCGACTGAATGATGGTGCAGCCTGACTTCTATAATGGAGTTCGGTGTGATGGTTTCTAAGGGTTGGAAGAATTATTCCTCCCAAGACGAGTACATTGCAGAGGTTGTGAGAGAGGGGCCTTTGAGTCCCTCCCCTATCTCTGCAGCCTCTAGAGCAGTCTCTGCCACGTAGTGGGTGCTCAGTAAACACCGTTGAATGAGTGAATGCCAGGTTTCCGTGTTCTCCAACTCCACTGAAATCAGAAAAAGAACCGACACTGAGAGAGGTGTAGCTGGGGGAGAAGTGAGGGGGGAATTCCAGGGGGTCGGTGGGTTTTCCCACTCCCCACCTGTACACTGTCAGTACTCACCCCCCTCCAACTCTGTTTTCAAGCTGGTGACCTCTTAGAGAAATCCAGTTCAACATACATGTATCTAAACCCTAAGTAGGTGCCAGGCATTGCACCAGGTGTGAGGGTAGAGATGAGCAGGACACGGCTGCCAACCTCGCTGGCGGGGAGGGGTGAGACGTGAGAACTTCTTAACTACAAGGTGGGATGTAATAAGGACGGCACTGAGGAAGAAATGATTGGTTCTGACACTTGAGCGAGGCTTTCAGAGGCAAATTTGTTTACAGGTAGAGGAAGGGGCTGGCTGACTCAGAGAGCAGCATCGAAATGGACACTCTCGGTCATAGCAGCGACCACATGTTGCATGGTTGTGACGGGCCACTCCATGTATTACACGTTTCTCCTGAGTCCCCTCACTCAGTCTTTACGGTAACCCTGTAAAGTGGGAGACCACTATCGTTATCTCTTTTTCATAGCGGAGGAATCCGAGACTCAGGCAACTAAGCAAAGGTCACACAGCTGCAAGGACTCGAGTCAGGACCCTAGTGGCGTGAGCCCCAAGGCACCAAGCTGAGTGAAGACAGGTCGTGTGCAGGGAAGGGGGACAGTGCCAGGAGGCTGGTGCCTAACAGGAGCGGGTGGGAGGAGCCAGATGGAAATGGGGTTGGGGACCGGGTTATGCCCCTGAAATCTCTGCTTGGGACTTCGTGACTGGGGGAGGGGGCTCTGTGAGCGGGGTTTAGAGGGAAGGAGTCTGATGGCCCAGAAGTGCTCTGGAAGCTCACTTCTGGCAGCAGGAGCAAAGGTGAAAAAGCTGTTGTCAGGAAAACCAGTCAGGCAACTCTTGTGATAGCCCAGGAGAGATGACAAGGCTGAACTGGGGCAGTGGGGATGCAGGGGGATGGATGAGGTGGAGGCAGGACGTGTAGGAGACCTTGGCTTGGATACCGGGTAAAGGAGAGGCAGGGCTCGATGACAGCTGTCGGGTCTTTAGCCCCACCTAGAACGAAGGAGGAGGAGTGGAACGGTCAGGAGACAGGTGAGCTTCCTTTGGAACACGACATTTGAGGCGCACGCCTCTGGAGAGGGGTCCGGATCGGAGGTGGTGCGTGGGACCAGGAAGTGGGCAGGTGTCTATGGGAACATGGGGTTTCCGTGTTGGCTTCCGCAGCCCATACTCATCTGCCTTCGATGTAGTATGGAAGAGTCCATTTTCCTCCGACTCTGCGTACACCATTTTATTTTATTTAGTCCTTGCAGTAGTCACGTGAGGAAGTGTTATCCTTATTTATGGATGAGGACACAGAGGCTCAGCGAGGTTAGATAACTTAGCCAAGGTCCCACAGCTGAGTGGCAGAGCCGGGATTTGAACAAAGGCCTGACGGCAAGGCTCCTTTCTGCTCTGCCATAATAGACCCTGAGTCAGGAATAGAAAGTGGTACAGGCTTGCAATGCAGGCACCCATCCGCCTGACTCTTTCACCTCCCCATCCTGCAGGTTCATTCTGAATACTTGAGGTTTCCCCATCCACAATACCCATGAGCATTCAGGTAACACTGGCTTATTTTCCACAATGTCATAGTTATGAGGTATTGCCTTAGACGCGTCAAGTTGGGCTTTGCTGCTTGTGGCCACCCAGGGGTCATTAGGAAGCGTCCCAAGCTCACTGACCCAAGAACATTCCTCATGGACTATAAACTCGGAATATATTATCAAGCCAGTGTCAAGACTGCACTGAAGGGCTTCCCTGGTGGCGCAGTGGTTAAGAATCCACCTGAATGCTGGAGACACGGGTTCGAGCCCTGGTCCGGGAGGATCCCACATGCCACGGAGCAACTAAGCCCATGCACCACAACTACTGAGCCTGCGCTCTAGAGCCCGCGAGCCACAACTGCTGAAGCCCGCATACCTGGAGCCCGTGTTCCGCAACGAGAGAAGCCACCACAATGAGAAGCCTGCACACCGCATCGAGGAGTAGCCCCCGCTCTCTGCAACTAGAGGAAGCCCGTGCACAACAACAAAGACCCAACGCAGCCAAAAATAAATTAAAAAAAAAAGAGAGAGAAAAGACTGCATTGAAAATGTAGAAATGAAAAGTGCCCTTTTAGGGTGCGGTTTTCGGATCTCTCCCATCTTCTGATATTTGATGGAAGTGCCAAGCTAAATGGAAAGACAAAATTACTGTAAACCGAGCACACTCACTGAGATAAGCACACGCAGCCTGCATCTTGCCTGATCCTTCTTCAAGGCGAGGGATCCACCTACAAAGCATTGGAATGAGGCCAAGTGTGTCCCCACCCCCCCCTTCCCCAGATAGCTGGTTGAAGAAGATGCACAGCCCCATATTGTCCCAGAAGTTAAGGCCTGGGCTGATCTTCTGGCCCAACTCTGTCATTTAAACGTAAGGAGCCCAAGATTGAGAGGTGAAGGGACTTGCTAAAGGTGACACCATTCACGAATGACCCTAGTCCCTGGACCCCTTGGTAGCCTGCATATCCCAGTACATCTGGCTTAGGTCCAGAAGAGGAGGAGGTGGACTTTTCTAGCATGTCTGTGTTCTTTGGCTGTACTTCATAGGGTAAGGGAAAGCAAAGGGGGGCCAGCTGGGCCCTGTAACATGAGCCTGCAGTGTCTGTCACTCACAAGCTGGATGACCTTGGGCAGGTGACTTCATCTCGTGTACCTCCACTTTGTCACCTCTGAAATGGGAGCACAAATAGTACCGACTTCCTAGGACTGGCTTTGAGTATTGAATGAGATGATGCAGGGCATGTCATAAGTGCTCAAATGTTGCTGCTATTATTGTTAATAACGCTGTCAGCCACGATAATAATTATGGCTGGACGGTGTGAGGAGGGAGCTCAGAAGACCAATCAGGCGCTGGTGGTCTTCCCTCTACCACCCGCCACCAACATACAAGTGTCTTCTCAGTTCATGTATCCAATGTGGGGCTGTTTGGGCACAGGGTCAGAACCTCACTTGGGTGGGTTTGTAACTGAGAGCTGCCCTCTCCCTGCAGAGTTGGTTTCTTTGCTCTGTGTGTCTGGACTCGCCACCTGAAACACAGCACTAACCATTTCAAATAATTTCTCGATAAGATTCTCCTTGGGTAGCAGAATCCAATCTGTGTTTTGAAAGCAGAGTTCCAGATGCTGGGACGGTGAAAGGAAGAGCCCTCTGTCCCATGAGCCCATTGGCCTAAGGTGATTCATTCCCGTGTCACATATTTCTAAACCCTCCTTGCCTTCCCCTGAGCTGTCCTAATCCCGTCTGGCCAGTTCCTCCACAAATTCCTCTGCTGCTTTGCCTGCCATCCTCTGAAGCCAGTGTAACTGGTGTCTCTGTAAGTAGGAGCACTTGTGAACTGCCAGCTCTTCCTTGGAGAGAAATGCTGCACTGGGGCGATGGGGATGCCTCGTGGCTGCTTTCGACCATGGCATTTATGGATATTCTCGAAGGCAGGGCAGGCCCGGGTGTCCTGGTCCTACCAGCTTCCCTCCTTGTCCCTGCCTGCAGTGTGTTCCCTTTTTCTTTCTTCCAAATCAGTTCTGACCCTGAAGCCAGCATCTTCACTTGGCTATCAAACCTCTTGCATTTACTTTTATTTATTTATTTATTTTTTTGCAGTATGTGGGCCTTTCACTGTTGTGGCCTCTCCCGTTGCGGAGCACAGGCTCCAGAGGCGCAGGCTCAGCGGCCATGGCTTACGGGCCCAGCCGCTCCGCCGCATGTGGGATCTTCCTGGACTGGGGCACGAACCCGTGTCCCCTGCATCGGCAGGCGGACTCTCAACCACTGCGCCACCAGGGAAGCCCTAAACCTCTTGCATTTAAAAATACTGGTAAAGTCACAAATATTGCAGTTTTAGCTATGCAGTTAAAAATCCTGCCATGTTTGCAGATGAAATTCAGATGTTGGAGTATAATTCATAAGAAAAGATACCTTAGAACCTGGTACCAGAAGATACCAGCAGGCCCTGGGTTCCTCGTGACCCATTTCCATATACTTTTGTGCCCTATATGGCTGTCCATGAGTGTCACCTGAAGACCTCATGCTGAGATGCAGGATTCTCACCTTCTAGGCACCACCCTCACTTCCTGAGCTCCTGTTCTGTCCCTTATGACCCTGCGACCCCAAGCATGGCAGGAGAGGAAGGGGGGATCCTGGCTACCCTCCAAACACCCACACTCCCTTCTGCCTCTCTCACCTGATTCCTGCCCCTCTCG